ACTCCATTCTGCTGAGGCTCGTCCGATGTAGAGTACTGGGCAACTATGCCATTTTCCTGTAAAAACCTTGCAAAGGTTCTAGGAACTTGGCCATATAGGGTGTGTCGACTGTAGTACTCTCCCCCAAGGTCGGATCTTACTACCTTAATCTTTAAGTTGTGCTGATTTTCTACTTCAGCTTTAAATATCTTAAATTTATTCAATGCTTCTGATCTTTCTTTAATTGGATAAACAAAGCAAAACGAGAATAATCATCTGTGAATGTTATAAATGAATCATAACCATCCACACTTTTCACAGGAAAAGGACCACAGATGTCTGTGTGAACTATTTCTAAAATTCTTGCGCTTCGTTTGACATCTTTCTTTATTTTCTTAACATACTTTCCTTTTATACAATCAATGCATTGTTCTAAATCTGAAAATTCTAAAGGCGGAAGAATTAATTTCTTAATCAATCGCTCTATTATCCTTCTCGAAATATGGCCTAAACGATAATGCCATAATTTCGATGATACATCATGAACTCTCTTCCGCTTATTGCTTGCATTCATAGACGAGGAAACATTCTCATTCTCAGTGCTTACATCATTCACATTCTCAGAAAGTCATAACAAATAAAGTTTGTCTTGTCTGAAGGCAAGACCAACACACTTATTATTAAACACAATCTGACTTTTGTCATTTCCAAAATGGCAATCATATCCATCATTATTGAGTCTTGAAACACTTATCAAGTTTCTACGCAAAGAGGGTACATAAAGAATATATGAAAGCTGAAGTATAAAATCATCATCTAATTTTAGAGAGAGAGATCTCCAATGGCTTCAACTTTAGCTTCAACTCTATTTGTAACTTTAATTCTTCTTTCTTCTCTTTGCAGGTCCTCGTACGAAATCCCTGTAATGAATTTGCAACATGAATAGTTGCACCTGAATCAATCCACCAAGTAGATTTTGCATAACTTAAATGCAAGGACTCATCTATGAATGTAATATAGTCCTCACCTCTTTTCAGAAGACTCTTCAGGAAGTCTGGACAGTCTCTCTGGTAATGTCCATGCTTCTTGCACCATTTACACTGATCCTTTTCAACATGAGCATTGTTGTTCTTCTGATGGTGGTCATTCTGAGAGGCTTTCCCTTGAGGTTTGGCATTCTTGTTAAAGTTCTTATTTTTGTTGTCCTTTACAAGGTTAGTAGAGTCACCCTGTGAGTTTTTTAGCCTCTCCTCTTCTTGAACACATTGCAATGAGTTTCTCAATATCCCACTTATCGGGCTGCATGTTGTAATTTACAACAAAAGTTTCATATTCTTTAGGCAAGGAAGCAAAAACCAAATGAATAAGGAATTCATCCTTGATCCCCAAATCCATTGGCTTGACCTTAGAAGTCGTGTTGCTCATCTTCAGTATATGCTCTCTTATCCCGCCACCAGAGTATTTCTCATTGAACTATTTCTTAATCAGAGTACTAGCATAAGCCTTTGAAGAGCCAGTAAACTGACTCTCCACTTTCTTGAGATGCTCTGTGGCGATGTCATAATCTAGGATAGACCCCCTTATCATATCTGAAATAGTGGACTTAGCCACCACCAAGCACTTGTGGTTTGAAATGTTCCATTTCTTACGTTCGAGATCATATTTCATCCTTACTTTTGTATGATCTAGCTGTCGAGCAGTGAAATCAGCATCAGTCTTATTTTCTTCCCTCACCGGATCCACTGCCTCAGTAGGACACGGAGAGATAAGTGCTAGGTCATTTTCTGACAGCGCAAGTGCTAATTCATAGTTCTCTCGCCATACCCGATAGTTGCCCCCTTCAAGAGGCAGTATGTGCGAGATAAATGCCATAGGGTTGAGTCCTGAAAAACACCATCAGAGATAGTGAGAAAATATGACATAATAATTACATGCCTTAATTTAACGTTGGTCAAAATAAAAACATACAACATTCTTCTACACTAATTCTATATCACCGTTGGGCAGAAATATAATTAATGCATGGAAAAACTCATGAAAAATAATTATAATATTGTTATTATCAACGTTGGTCAGAAAAATAACAATATCATAATTTACTGAATAAAATTTAACTGCTCATCAAAATTAAATTATCTTGTTGGTTCGAATTTCATTAGAAGATAATAAACATTAACTTTGCAGCGGAAACATGAAAAAATAATTTATCTACTTTTCAGAAGCATTTCATTGTACTCATCTACTCTTTGAAAAAATTATCTTGTTGGTTCAAATTTTGACAGAGATTTAAACTAGGCAAAAATAATCAAAAAATTTGCTTCTAAAAATGATAAAACAATTCGTAAATTTTACTATGCATTTTGGGCCGAAACACACTCGTGCGCTGCGCGCTGTCGCGGCCCAGCAGCGAAATCCGGCCCGCGGCGGCCGCTCACGCCGTGCTCCCCCGCGCCCAGGCCACAACCTAGGCCTGGGCTGAGATTTTCCTCGCCCGCCTTGGCCAAATCTATCCCGAGCGCCCGGAGCCGTTCATTGGGATCGGATGGTCGGGCGACGATCTCGGCGGAATAAAAAACCCCTGCCGCGCCGGTCACCCAAACCCTAGTTTCATTTCTTCCCCCGCCTTCTCTCTCTCTTCACCGCACACGGAAAGGAAAGAGTAGCGGAGCGACGCCAACGTGCGTGCTCGCCCTAGGCTAAGTGCGCCACCGTCGAGCGGTGGGGCTCGCCCTAAACCCTAGCTCCTCCCTCGTTCTCCTTTGTTAGCCCTCAGTGTAGCCGACGCCGGAGAAGAAGTGCGGCGCCACCGCGGGTCCCCTCACCGGAGCGCGCGCTCCCAGTGGGTGAGCGCGCCACCGTCGAGCGGTCCTGTGACGGTGCCCTCGGCCGGGGCTCGCGCGCACGGCAACGAGCGTGGCTCGGCTATCTCCCCGCGTGCCGGCGAGGCGACGGCGGGGCTTCTTCCCACGCGACGGCGGTGGTGACGGCGGCGAGAAAACCGGGTAGGTCCCTCCCCTCTCCGTCTATTCTTCTAGGGTTAGAGTTAGGGTTAGGATTGGAGTTCGATCGATTTGAATCACCTCCTTCTAAATTTCTCGTTCTGATCTACCCTAAAGGCTAGATCTACGCCTAGTAAGGCTCTGATACCATTGATAGATTAATATGATCTACTAGCCATAGATCCAGCGGGTCAAACTAACATTTAGGATATTGAGTAAACTCTAGAACATGATCTAGTGCGAGAAAATAAAGAGAGAGATGCGGGGTAGCAAACCATCAGCCGCCTTTGAGGAAGACGAGCTAGCCATTGCGTCGGTGTTGGTGACGTGGTGGAGGAACGGTCGTAGAGAGGCGGTGCTTCCTGTCGCTGGCAGCGCTCCTCTCTAGATCGGCTTAGGGTTAGGATGTAGGTGGGGTTACGGCGGCGCAGATGAATCTCGTGCCTTGTGCCCCGGCCCCCACCTCCCTTTTTATGACGCTATGTAATGGGGCCCACCAACCATGGAATGGTTGAATGCCCCGATCAGAACGCAGATCAAAAGCCTAGTTGACCGTTAGGCTAAGTTAGTGAAGATTAACCTAATGGCATGTATGGACTAGTCCTCGCTCATGGTCTGGGACGGATCTGCTACGCGAGACCAGGCGGGGTCTAAAGAACAAGCACGACGCCATGCGGGGCGGACCACGGACGAGAGCGCCGCTGGCAGTGGGCACTGGCAGACAGCACGAGCACGGGACTACTCCGTAGGCGACAGGCCAACAGCGCGCCTTGGGCTCGCCTTCAATTTTGCTCACCCACACAGACACAGCAGGGGGGAGGGGGGCACGCTCTGTTCCGCTTCCTTCCATGCATCCAGGCTTGCACGAAAGGGACACGCGCCTCACTCACCCTGCTCGCCACTCTTCCATGGGAGCGCCATGCATGGTTGCATTGCCAGCCACAGGCACGCGGCATGGGCGATGGCATTGGATCCTCTACTCGCACTATCAATTGTCAGTACGCAGATTTCAACTACTCGGAAGCCAAAAACAAAAGAATGGGCAGGTACCCAGGCGGGCATGGCCCCGCAACGCCAGCGGCGTGCGCAGCAGCGGAGAGGACAGGCGAGACGAGTGGGGGGTGTGCTACAGCTCACGCGATCGCAAACCACGGGAACGGATGGTGTGGGGTGCGGTGTGGCGCCAATCCCAACAACCACTTCCTCAACTGCACAGGCAAGCAAAGCAAAGCGAGCGGCAGCCTTCCGTCCTTCCTCCTCCTCACCCGCGCTTCCGGCACCAGGCTATTATAGGAGTACAAGCTAGGGGCGTAGGCAGCCAACACCCCATGTGGCATTGGGCCCCCCTCTCCATACCCTTTTCCAGCTCGGACGCCGTGCCCGTCTCCTTCCTCGAGACCGAGACGTCGGGCTGGGAAGCCGGAATGGACAGTGGCCGCCTGGACGGACATGGCGGCACAGGTGAAGGCTGAAGCCTCCTCTCTTCTTTCGTTCCATGGCTAGCTAGCTCCGGCAGAAGCCTTTGCTGCTGAGAGCAATGGCGAACCGTACTGAGAAGCAGCACAGGCAAAAGACCAAACAAGAACAGAGCAGGATGACAAGGTTTGTTCCCTCGATGATTCTTCAATTCACCACAACAGCTTCAGACTTGCTGCTCCCTACCACTTCGGTAGCAGTAGCAGTAGCAGCACGAGGAGGAGCACAACAGTTCTTTCTCCTCCGCCAAAAAAACACTCGGAATCAAAAAACACCCATCACACACACCTCGCTCTCTCGCTCACCCCCCCAGTTTCATTGCTTCTAGACTTCAAAAAGCACCTAGAAGACGAACAACACTCACTGCTCAACGAAAACAGCCCAAAAACAAGCTCGTCCGATCACCGCGACCAAAACTTTGCGACCGGACGAGTTCACAATCTCGCCCTCACGCAGACGACAGCCCCTCCCTCCCTCGCCGTTGACGCAACCACCATCGCTGCTGCCGCTGCTGTACACTTGCATCCACTCCCCTCAATGCCGAGGTCACCGGAGCAGCTCGGCGCGGGACGCCGACAGCTCCCGGCGGAGCTTGCAGGAGAAGAGGCGGCACGCGTCCATGCTGAGGTCCACAGCGGCGGCCAGAGCAACAAATGCCGCGGCATCCTCAGCGCAGGCGACGTGGGCGACGCCGACCTCGACGGTGGGCCTGCTGCACCGGCCCTCCCCCTGCACGGCGACCGACATGACAAATCCGCGGAAGCTGCCAAACGGCCAGAGACCGCCGTGGTGGCCGAAGTCGCCGCTGACGCGGGGGCTGCACCCGGGCGTCCCGCTGCGCCCGAACGGCTGCGCCGCCGTCAGGTCGATGGCGAACCGCCCGCCGCGGGACGCCGGGACGCCGGACTCGACCACGCACACGCCCGCGCCACCGGCGCCGCTGGCGCCCGTGTTGGCGGTGTGGTCGGGCACCAGCTCGAAGCGGTACCCCAGGGTGTCCCCGCCGGAGCCGCCGCGCTCGCGCCAGCACTCGAGGCGGCCCCACGGCGTCCAGGTCCCGTCGACCGGGCGGAGGATCAGCCACCCGCCTGGGTTCGACCGGCTCACGCGGTCCGTCCCTGGGGACGCCACGAACGGCGTCACCATCGACGCTAGCGCTACCGGCGAGCCCGATAGGTCGTGCACCGTCACTGACCACCCCTTCCGCTCCTTCCCCGCGCGCTCGCGCTCGGAACCGAACTTGGCCAGCCAGTTGCGCGGGCCAGCGGTGCCCGGATCAGACTGCACGGACCTGCATGGATGGATGGATAGGATCGATGAATTAGAAAAGATTGAATCGATGATGCGAGGGATTGCAGATTTGCAATTGCAATGTGGGGAGAAGTTGCTGTAGTGTTACTGACCGCGAGCGCAGGTCGCTGTTGCTGCGGCAGGAGAACTTGCACGTGAACATGGGCTGCTTCATGCTCCCCTTCACCTGAAGCACCTGCGGGCTGCACTCAGGCTCGCCGTCGAACTCGAACACGAACCTCGGGTCAGGCTCAGCGCGGACGGTGAGGTTAAGCTGCGTCCTCGCCGCCGCCGCCGCGGCCTTACCACGCCCCGCGCGGCGCTTGCCGATGGGGACCCACCCGCTGTGGAAGACGACGGGCTTAGCCATAGCAGCCCCGAGGTCGAGCGGGACGACGAGCTTCCCGATCAGCCTGCCGGAGGCGCCGCCGCCGCAGGACGCGCCGACCCCTCCGCCGCGGCCGGCGTACACGGCGACCTTGAGGCGCGCGGTGCGGCAGCGGAGGCGGGCGCCGAGGAGGAGCGCGGGCTTGGCGGCGGCGCGGTCCAGGTCGGCCCTGGAGACGTGGAACGCGGCGGCGAAGGCGCCCGTGCAGGAGGCCGGGCCTTCCTCCGTCGCCGGCAGCAGCGGGGCCGAGGCTGTCTGGTAGGGCAGCTTGTTGAGGCGGATGCGGCAGTAGCAGGGCGCCGTGGTCGGGTGTACCCCGGAGCCGGACGAGGAGGTGCTGCGTGGGGCGGATGTTGTTGACGCCGGCATCTTTAGCGCGAGGTTGCCGACCAGCACCCGCACGAACGGGCACGGGTCCATCGCTCGAGGCAGGCAGGTCGCAATGCCTGCGACGACGACTCGATGCGGGGCGAGGCAATGCGGGTGGCGGCAATGGCGGGCGGAATCGGAGACGAAGAGGGGAAGAGAGAGCCAGGCAGAGAGGGAGAGGAAAGGCTGGCTGGGCTGGTGGTGTGGTGTGTTTTCAATTCCGCGATGGGGAAGGAGTGGTGACGAGGGATCATAGGCCTGCCGCTGCTAGGGTGTAAGACTGGCCACGGCCAGCCTGGATCCCGGTCCGGTGAGCTGTGTGCCCGTGCCTGCGCGCGCGCGGGGGCCTCGCGCCCTCCCTGTTTCCTCGTCGAGGACACGTGAGGTGGATCATGGATCCCAGCTATCAGTGTGTGAAGGTGGCTGGTGGTGGCGTACGGGGAGGCGTGCGAGACGGAGGAGGGGAGGGAGCCCGTGTCCTCTCTGCTGCCTAGTTCAGTCCACTCCAGTCCAGTACAGCTGCATGCGATGCGCTTTTGCGGTGGGGTCGCCCCTGTGGGCGCTGTTCCTGGTCGCCTGCCTGCCTGCCTGCCTGCGCTGCGTTCTCCACTCCTCCGGTTCTTCTCCCCCTCACTTGACGGCGACGGCAAGCGATTTCACCGCGCCTTTTTACCGAGCCAGCGGCCAAAAGGAGGGTCGTACAGTACAGCCACAGCATTCCTCGGCGGCTGCGTGGTGTTTGGGGGAGAAGAGAAAGGACGAAGGGGACAGGGGCACAGGGCAGCGGGGGAAGCCGCAGTTTGTGGGCCTACGGTGCCGATGAGCCTGCCGTGCCAATGTGCCATCACTGCCTGCGCGGGCCCCTGCTGCGGCGTCCCGGTCCCGCTGTCAGTGGGCACGGGGGAATTGAAAGATTTTGTGCAACGGTCTCAGGTTTTTGCTTGCCCCTTGTCGGACGGGAAAAAGAAACTTCTAGGTGTACTAGAAAATGATAATAGCTTCACCGGCTCTTAGTTATTTCTACGGATAGAAGAGTCAAACTAGAGTCGGCAAGAACACCAAACGACACCTTATTTTGTACATGAATATAACCTGCATATATACATGTGATGTTTAAATCCAGGAAGTAAAGTTTAAGATGTCACATCGAATGTTATATCGGGGTGTTACATGAGAGTGTTCGGATAGTAATAATAAAATAAATTACAGAAGTCATCAGTAATCCGCGAGACGAATTTATTAAACCTAATTAATCCATCATTAGCATATTATTACTATAGCTCCACATTATCAAATCATGGACTAATTAGGCTTAAAAATCTGTCTCGCAAATTAGTCGTAATATGTGTAATTAATTATTTTTTAGTCTATATTTAATACTACATATATGTGTCAAACATCGGATGTGATAGGGAGTAAATTTTAGGAGGAGAAAGATGTACTATCCTCCGTTTCTCTTTACTTGGCAATTTTGACCGGGTGCCTGTTTAGTTCCTAAAATTTTGCAAAATTTTTCAAGATTCTCCATCACATCGAATCTTTGACGCATGCATGAAGCATTAAATATAAATAAAAAATAAAACTAATTACACAGTTTAGACGAAATTCGTGAGACGAATCTTTTAAGCCTAATTAGACTATGATTGAATACTAATTATCAAATAACAACGAAAGTGCTACAGTACCGTTTTGCAAAAAAATATCGATAACTAAACAAGGCCCGGGGCACGAAGCCAAAGGCGACCCGTCTGTGTTGTGTGAATTGATCAAAATGGTCATTAGTTAAGGTTGTGGCTATGTAAGCACAACGCAGAAATTTCTTGAATGAGCAATGGTGAGGTAAAGGTGGATGCTACCAAGGGCAAGATTAGAAATACAATCTTAGGAAGCGTGAAGTGCCAAGTATTTAGAAAATTGAAAAGTGATTGAAAGTAAGTATTTTGAAACAAAGGATGGTATACCAAAAAGATAGTTCTATCTGGAAACATGACATACTCGTAAATTAAGATGGAGAAATTAAAATGTGTAGAATGTATAAGTGATAAATTCGACGGGAGCTAAACGTGGACAGCATGTTTCATTACTCATTAGTATAGATGTCCAACGGGCTGGCCCGGTCCAACACGCACGCGCCTGCCGGCACGACACGACGACCCGATGGGGTCAGGCCGGCCAAGACGACAACCTGCACGCCGCTGCTTCAGCCGTCTGGAGTTCGACACCGTGCACGACCTACGGCCCGACCACGGCCTGAGGAGCCATTTTGGGCCGGGCCGGCCGAGAAGCACGACCAATCCAAAGATGTCGGTACGCCGCCCACGAGGAAGCGCGACCACCCAAAGAGAGGGGGGGAGGGAGGATCTGGCGTCAAGGCGGAGCTCGGGGCCGACGAGCTCGCTCTGGCACCAAATCAAGCGTCAGGCGAGCACGGGCCCGTGAGCTTGCCCTTGGCACCAGATCCGCGGCGGGCGGAGCTCGAGGCTCGGCGAGCCTGCTTCCTCCTCGGCGGCCTAGGTCGGTTCCGCAATGGCTTCACTTGAGGAGAGGGAGAGGCAAAGGGCGTCGGCGCTGCGAGGAGAGGGAGGAGGCGTTTCGGTCCCAATGGCCAACGCAAGGGAATGGGAGGGGGCGCCCGCGATGCCGGCGCAGAGGTGAGAGACTGAGAGGAGGAGCGAGTGCGAGCGTGCGGCACTGCAGCGTGCGGAGGTCGGGAGGGGGCTGCGTGATGGGGCGGGGCCATGGGGGGAGGCGGGGAGTGGAAGGGAAAGGGAGGGAGACAGGGAGTTAGGGTTTAGGGGTGGGGAGTTAGGGGTGGGGGCTTAGCAGTCTGGCTGGATGGGCCGTGCTCTATGGACCAAGCCGTGCCGTGCCAGCCCACGTGCCTGAGGAATGGCCCAGGCACGGCTTGCTGCACCGGGCCGGGCCAGCCCTGGCTCGCTGACACGAGCTTGCTTAGCACCGAGATTTAGGTCCGAGAGGGATTAGCCAAACAAGTTTTCGAGTTTTAAAATTTTATAACGCACGTGAAATGATAAGCGAATCCTATGTGACTCACTTTTGTGGACTCAAATAAATATCCAAGTTAACTTACTTGGTGCGTAAAAGTGCTAGTGAAAATCCTAACGAGAGGAATGGGATAAGTCGTTTTAATTGTTTGGCACGAAAAATAATTTATATAAACAAAAATAAAATATAACTTGTGTGTAGTACTTAAGTAAAGAGGATGAGCAAGTGGTGTAGTTGAAGATGTAACTTTAATTTGTGAAAACAAATGTTGTTAACTAGTGTTCTTCAGAGCTCAAAAATCAAATTTGACGTTAAGATAAGCTCTTTTCGTTAAGTTGGCAAACACTTGAACTATTGTTAAAATACCATTTTTTGCGAATTATATGGAGCAAAATAGTTAAATAGTGCTTAAATATTTTGCTCCTATGGGTTAGTATAAGGTATGTACTATTGCATGAAGTATTTATTGGTTGAAGTTAATAGGGTTTAAACCTATTAAAAATTACAACAAAAGAGTTAATGGCTACTTAGCCCCAACTAAAATCCTTAACTTTTCTAAGTATGGAAGGGTAGTAGACAATGCCATTTTGGCATTTAAATTCTAACAAAAATGTTTAAACAGTATATCCATGTTTTTGTACTGTTGGTTGCTTCTAAGTGAGCGCTTGGGCATGGTGTAGGTCATAAGTGTGTCGGATGCCATGTTGCCCTCTTTAAAAATTGCTCAACTTCATTGGGACGTGCTGTAACCAAGTTGTTGTAACACCTCTGGTATTACGAGCTCGCTAAACACTGAGATTATGGCCTGAGAAATAGATCTATAAATATAGTGAGTTAGTTACTTAAAAGTGTTAATGAAAATCTTAACGAGAAAATAGGAAAAATACTTTTAATTGTTTGGCACAAGAAGCAATTTTCATAAACAAAATAAAATATAACTTGTATTTAATACTGGAATAAAATTTGGAGCGCAAGTTTAATAAATAAAAATGCAACTCTTGTTTTGGTGAATAAAAGTTATTCAATAGTATATCTAAGAGTTCATAAATCGAATCCGACATTTAAACTAGACCTTTCGTGAATTGGTCGGAAGTTGAAATTATAGTTAGGATGCTATTTTTTACTATTTATATTAAGCAAAATAATTAAGAGGCATTCAAATGTTTTGTTCCTGTGGGTTAGTATGGAGTATGGGCCATGTCATGTTATGTTTGTTAGTTGAAATCGTCGAGGTTTAGACCTTGCAAAAATTACGGCAAAGTGCTTAGGAATGTTAGTTCTAGCTAAAGCCTTGAATTCTTTAAAGTATAAAATGATAGTAGACAATGCCATTTTGGCAATTAATTTCTGAAAATTTTAGTTAAACACTTGTGCCATGTTTTTATTTAGTGGTTTGCACCAAAGTGACTACTTTGTGATGATGTGATGGTTAGTGTTGTTAGAGCTTGGTTTAGATATTAAAAAAATATGTTTAAGTACCTATAATGTACTAGGTTTGGCTGTTGAGCCCTTGGGCATGGTCACCGCGCCCAAGGCATCATGTGGATCTGTAGCACCTGTTGGTCATTTGTCACGTCTGCTGGTTAGTTGGCCCCGCCTAGCTACTGGTCTCATGGTCCGTGGTGTCTTTGCACAAGCGCTGCTGCTTCATCGCTCGCCGCCTCGCCCGCCAGAAGCAGCACGTAATCGCAATGCTCATCTCACCTACCTCAGCAGCTCTCATGCCACGCCCGCCTTTGCCTTCTAGTGGTTGGCGAGCTGCTGTCCTCGCCACGGCTCTCTCTCTCTCTCTCTCTATGCTAGCACGCATCCGCCATGGCGAGCTCGGGGCTGAGCTCAACGCCGCCTTTGCTCGCCCCTTTATGCGAGCCTGCCTTGCTGCCCTCCCAAGCGCCTTCTCCGCCATGCACCGCCATCCTCCCCGCCGAAGTTCCGCCGACGCCGCCCCTCCCCATGCGACCACAGCGTGCCGCCATGCCGTGTCTCGCCTCGATGCGCCACACCAGTCCAGTCCGGTCGTGACTCGCAGCACCTCCCTCGCCCGC